CGCTGGTACCGTTTTCTCAACGCCGCGCTGCTCTCTGTCCGCACTACTACTAGCCGCGCGACCGGCTACACGCCCTACTACCTGGTCTACGGCCAAGAGTGCATGTTCCCCTTCGACCTCGAGGATGCCACCTGGTTCGCGCTCGACTGGGCCAACGCTACCGACGACGTCTCCCTGCTCGCGAACCGCCTCCTCCAGATCTCCCGTCACAAGGCCGTGTTGGACGACGCCGTGCAAAAGCTGACTAAGAACCGCAGGAAGGCCATCGACGACTTCCACCGCCGTTACGAGACCCTCATCAATAAGGAAGGCTTCTCACCTGGCTTCTGGGTCCTCCTACTGGAATCTTGGCTCGATGCGCAGATGGGCATGAAGGGCGCGCTCCACTGGGCCGGTCCCTACATCGTCGAAGAGCGCCTTTCCGGGGGTTCCTACAGACTGCGCGAAATCACTGGCACGCCAATGCGTAACACCGCACCGGGCGCGCGCCTGAAGCTGTTCTACTTCCGCGGCGACCACCAGCCGACCTTGACTGCGACGCTCCCCATTGCGCCACGGTCCACCGCAGCGTTCAGCTATATCAGCGCCTTTGCCGCGCCCATCGAAGTCCTCTCCATGAGCAACCGCTTGCACTGCCCGCCGCGTTCCGAACCCATCACCTACTCGTGCAACCCCGTCCAACATGCCTTCGGTGCCGGTCGCGCGTCCGTGACCTGTGACGGCGCGTGCCTCGCAGCGCCTGAGATGGAGCCTTACCTCCTGGATAGTGACGATGGTTCGGGTGTCAATGTCGACATGCGCTTGTCTTTTCCACCGACGCTCTGCACGATTACTTTCGACCCCGCAGTCGACCCTATCAGCGCGACGCCCTGGCTCACTGTCAATGCACCGTCCAACCTCATCGCCTTGGGCCGCCTCGCGAAGTCCTTCAATGCGTGGCCTCAACCCGGTCCGTCCTTCGGGGCCCGGCCGACGACTCCGCCTCCGCGGGCACCTCGCCGGGCTCGCCGCCAGGTCCACGCTGTCTATGATCCGGTTTCCGGTCGTTTCACCCCTGTCGGCGATGAGCACGGGTCAACCGCCTTGGGAGGGTCTCTTTGATGTTTGTCAGGATCTCGAGGTCGAGATCTCAAGGGCCCCCCGGTTGTAGGAGTCCCGCTGCGCTGGGCGCTCGCGGGTACTCTGAAGCACGCGCGTGCGCGCGACAGAACACGGTCACGTGTCGACCGAGCAGCGCGCGGTCACAGAGCACACCCAGTGAAGAAGTAGTACCTGCACATGTATAAAAGTAGCACGAACGCACACGGAATGACCAGTTTTCCTCTCCCCCACATTTCACTCTGCTTTTCTCCCATCGCGTTTCCCTGCCCGTCTTCGCTCGTCCGTCGAACCCGTGTCCGATTACCCGTCGTATCCGTCTTCCCTCCGCGTAACCGCCGAATCCGTCCCCGCGCATCCGCAGCGCTCACCCTATTCACACGTCTCGCCTAGGAGACACCGTCGAAGGGCATTCTACAGCGCTCTCTCTTGAATCATGCTCATGAAGCTGCGCCAAGACTCCGGGAGTGCGCAGAGAAGCAGAAGTGAGAACTCATCGTTTGAGATCATCCGATTCATGTCCGCTAACTCTGACCGCCACACACCCATCCTCTGCACCCACTCATCCACATTCTCCCCATCAGAGTATTGTGAGTTCATCATCTTCCTCTTGATCTCGATGATGCTTCCCATACCACGTACTTGATAGTTCTTCTCCAATTTCATCCAGGTGTCGTGACTCGTCTCCGTGTCTGATACAAGCGCCGCGGCCGCCGTCCCGAGCTTGAGTTGCATACCGACAAGTGCGGCGAGGTCTTTGTCTTCCCAGGCTTCGACGTCGGCTTGGTTGCTCTTGTCGTCGGCTAGCTTCGGGCGTGTCTTGTGACCGAGGATGATGCCCAAGATCTTCGCAAGTTTGAGAAGCCCTGAGAATAGCCGACGCCACCAGGGATAGTCGCTTGATCCCGAGAGTGGCTCAATCTTCACCTGGAGCAGCGAGTTGATCTTGTCAGTGTCGGTAGTCATAGTGAGTGGAGATGTCAAGCTAAGATGTGCACAAGAGGCTGAGTGGATACTGCTTTAGAACAAAGCAGGGCTCATAACCTGTAGAAGTTCACGCAGGTTCAGGGGGAGGGAAAACGAAGCTTTATTAGCGCTGTATGTGCATGTGCTATAAATAGTACATGATGAGAACAAAGAGCTAAAAGTATTGTAAGGCGTGTGAGGCGAGACCAAGAGATAAGGAACTACAAAGGTAACATCCAAATGCATATCATAATCTAATCTAATCGTAACCGGCACTTCTGTGCGTATCTTCAACAGTAACAGAGCCTAGCAACACATGTAGATGTGGGTAGTGGGAGGTGGCACAGATGCGGACATGGGCAACATGGAGAAGGGTGATGACGCACAGGTGGGCAATGCTGCATAAGGCTGTTTGAGGATCTACCCGCGGATGATCCGGAGCCGTATCTGTGGATCAAGGCCATTCTCAGGCCTTTATCTGGATCCACGTGAGTCAGATCCTCTGGAAGACCCGGACCCGTGGGAGCCGGACCCGCAGCTCACAGATCCACCCGCGGATAGAGCCGCGAGCCATGTAGATCTATGGATATTGTATTGGATCCGCAGTCATAACAATGCACTCATGTCTTTCATTGACACAATTACTATGAACACTCAATAGTAGCTATCAATATACAAGTACAATGTGAGAGAGGCGGGCAATGTGGAGGCAAGACGGTGACGTGAACGAGCCTCTGTGGGCGTGAAGCGCGAAGGCGGGCGCAAGCGCGACGCAGGCACAAGGCAGGCGACGGGACAATGCGGGCGCGGTGGGCAACGGCATAATGGGTGATGCGGGCAGGGACTGGTGACACGGGCACGAGGGCCGGTTCACCAGACAAAGGCTACGTGGGGGCAAAGTGAAGGCGTGGCAGGCGATGCGGGGGAAAGATGAAGGCACGGTGCACGACATGGGGGGACGTGGGCGGGGTGGGGAACATGGGCGAGGGCGTGGGGGATGACACTGGTGTGGCATGGGCGCAAGGCGGGTGACGATGCGGGCGCGGGTGATGCGGACAAGGGCGTGGACGAGGGGGCAAGATGCTGGCAAGAAGGTGGTCAAGGACGAGGCAGACGAGGGCGATGCAGGGACAAGACGGGTGATGACGAGGTGGTGAGGTGGAGAGGGCGATGCGGCTAACACGGGGACAAGGCAGGCGACGCGTGCGTGATGCAGGCAAAGTGGGCAAGGCGGGAGTTGCGGGACACGCAGGCGAGGTGGGTGAGGTGGGTGACAGACGAGGTGGGCAACATGTGGGGCACAAGACGTGGGCAACGTATGGGACTGAGGGCGACGGACGAGGGTGATGCGGAGGTGAAGGAAGGCGATGCGGAGGTTCGTAATCTGCTGCAGCAAAAGACAAGACAGGAGTGGGTCAAAAAGGTGGCACACCTCTTGTTCAGGGAGTAGGCCGAGGGCTTTGTTGGCATGGCCAGAACATGGAGGGGAAGTGACGCGGGGAGCAGAGGGGGCGGGGAAAGACTCACTGGGGGAGATTGAGGCCACGGGAGCTCTCCACGACCTCACAACGCAACTCTCGGGTTTGAGAACGGCACGGCGCCAGGGCGGAGGACATAGAGGGCGGATGGCGCAGGCGCGAGGAGGGTGAGACGGGCGAGCGCGTGGGAGGCGACACGGGGGCAAGGCGGAGGAGGTTGAGGGCGAGGTGGCGAGGACACAGAGGGCAGAGGGTAGAACTCACCTAGGAGATCCGGGCCACGGGAGCTCACTGCGACCCTACAGAATGGCCGAGCGTACGAGTGCGATGACGCCGCATAGTAGGGCAGGGAGCGTGGGCGACGCAGGGCAGGCGCGGGATGGGGCTGCGGATGCGGGCGAGGTGGGAGGCGCGGGGGTGAGGCCAGCGATGCGGGCGTGACATGGCGGCATGCGAGGGCGAGCCGGACGAGGGCGACACGGAGGTTGTGGCAGGCGACCCGAGGCGGGTGCAGAGGATGAGGGCAAAATGAGGGCGAGGTAGGTGAGGACGCAGGGAGCAAGAGAGAACTCACCAGATGGAATTGGGGACGCGGGAGCTCACCGCGACAGGTGCGGGAGCGAGCAATGGCTCTAGGTAGGTGGAGGACCACACAACGCAGGGCAGGTGGGGGACGCGGGGGAGGGCGAGGGCGACGCGGGCGCACCAGAAGGTGCGGGAGATGTGTGGCAGACGTGAGGCAGATCTGGGGGATGAAGCAGAATGAAGCAGAGGGCAGGGACACAAGGTGGAGGGCAGCGTGGGTGAAGGGCGACGGGGCAGAGGCAGAGGACAAGGGCGAGGCGAGGGCAAGCCAGGGGATGGCGATGTGGCAAGATGGATAGGTCCGAGCATGAGGTGGACGAGTGTGGGACGAGCGTGAGCGCGAGCAAGGACGCGTGGGGAGCAGAGGGGGTGGGGAGAACTCACCAGAGGTGATTGGGGCGGCAGGACCTCACCGCGACCCCGTGACCCAACTCCCGATAGTCACCCACCTCCTCCTCCTCCTCTTCCTGGGCTTGAGAACGGCCGTGCGCGCGCGCGCGATGAGGCAAAGGCAACATGGGGGAAAGGATGGGTGAGGGCAAGATGGCGAGGCAGAGAGGGTGAGGTGGCTGAGCGTGAAACGTGCGAGGGCGTTGTCAGCGCGTCGGTCGGTCGGCCGGAACCTGGGAGGAGGGGGCAACGCGGGGGAGAAGAGGGGGTGGGGAAGGACGCACCAGGGGAGATCAGGGCCGCAGGAGCCCACCGCGACACCACGGAACGGCCGCGAGAGCGAGCGCGATGACCCTGTGTGGACGGCTGAGAGTGGGGCGATGCAGGGCAGGCGGGCGACTTGGGTGATGCAGAGTAGAAGGGCGACGCGGGGCAAGGGCGTGCTGGGCAACACAAGCGACGCGGGTGACGCAGGCGGGTGGCATGAATGACGCAGACGAGGGCGAGGCGGAGGGCGAGGGCGAGACGGAGGATGAGGGTGTGGCAGACGCAGAGGGCCGGGATGCGGCAGAGGACGAGGGTGAGGTGGGCGAGGACATGGGGAGCAGAGGGTGGAACTCACCAAAGAAGATCGGGACCGCAGGGGCACACCGCGACCCCACAACGACACTCCTGGGTGTCAGGACAGACACGCGCGCAGGCGTGATCACGCGGCGTGGATGGAGGATGGAGGGGGGAGGAGTGGGAGCAGCGAATGCAGGGGGGCTGGAGATGAGGACATGCAAGACGCGCGGGTTCAAATCTGAACACTGCCCGATCGAGACAGATTCCTGTGGGCAGACGCCGAATGCAGGCGCCAAAAGCGCTTGAGGTGAAAGGAGAGAGTAATGTACCAATATCTCGGTCACATTCCCACCAAATCACACACAAATGAGATTGTTAGAAATGCGCTTCAATTGGCTTTCGAATGATATAGCTTTCGTAGTAGTTAAGCACAAATATGAGCTATTGCTCAAGAATCTGCGGATAACCTGCAGATAGAGCCACAGATCCGCCAGTTTTCGGCCATCCCGATCTGGAGCTGCTGGGAGCCGGAGCCACAAAGAGCCGGAGCTGCTTGGCTCATTATCCCTGGCTCACGGCTCTGGATAATCGGCTCATGACCCGCCAAGTGAGCCGGACCTGTGAACAGCCTTAGCAATGCATGTAAAGGAGGTGGGCTGCATGGAGGCAGGTGGGATGCAGCAGGGCAATGAGGAGGAGGGCAACATGGAGGTGAGTGTTAAGGGATAAAGTAGGTGGGGCCTTGGGTTATAGTGTGCAGTGAGCAGGGCTAACTCGTGCATTGGTGGCTCATAGGCAGCTGCCATGTGATAAGGCTGTTCGCGGATCTACCTATGGACGATCTAGATCTAAACCCATATATCATATGACATCTAGGGACTTTGATCTAGATCCACATGGCTCAGATCCGCTAGAAGAGCCAGAGCTGCATAATCCAGAGTTGTAACCCATAGGTAGAGCCACCAAATGAGCTTCAATCTATGGCTCAGTGTGGATCTGAGGATTCTGTGGATTATTGTGCAGGTTATGTGGGTTTTATAAGTCAAATCTTGTATCATAGAACATCTATTTTACTTGTACACAAAGTCTAGATGCCTCAGTTGGAGTGACTTGATGATAAACTGAGCAGGTAGCATGTGCGTGAGTCCTGAGATAAAGGCTTGTCACAGACAGCACAAAGGCAAACATTCTGTGCACGTGAGAGTGTGTTAGACTTCATTTTCTTGCAGTGGCATGTGGCAGTGCACACTCGGTGTGAGAGTGTGTGTGCGGGCACAGACAAACATCTAAGTTCCGACATCATAAGGGCCTGGTCGGCTGTCCGTGGGATGGGCTGTGGGATGGGCTCGCCTGGGGCCGAGACGGCCGACGGCCCATCCCGAGCCCATCGGGCTTTCGCTGGCATCCGCGTCACTGGGCGTCACCCTGGGTCACTCCCCATCACGAACGGTGACGCTGCGCGCTTGCGCAGTTCCGTGGGCGGCAATCCACCTCTTGCTCCCGCCACGACTGTCATGCGCGTGCGGAATGCTCCTCCTCTCCCTCCACCTCTCTCAACCACTCAGCGGATGCGCGAACATGTGCGCGCTATGGCCCGCATGGCCATCCTTGGTGCTGGAGTAGTTGTGGCTTATGTCACTCCGCATGTCATCAAGCAGCCAATGTACGATTCCACTTGAACGGGCCAGAAGTATGTGCAGGAGCTTCTTGCTGCCCATCCCTCACGTATCCATGATGTCCTCGGGCTACATCGACATGTATTCCTTGCACTTGTGAGGGAGCTGGAGATGTATTCTGGGCTGGAGGATTCAAAACACGTGACAAAGGAGGAACAACTTGCCATCTTCCTTCGCCTCGCACGCACCGGATTAGGGCAGCGAGAGGCCCGTGAACAGTTTCAACGATCACCAGAGACTGTTTCCATGTATGCTTCTCTTTGTGTGCTGCCTTGTTACCGCTGATGATCCTGTTTAGTGTCTTTAACCGCATTCTCGACATGCTCGTCTCTCCTCGGTTCTATCACCGCTACGTCAAGCTTCCTGATCCTAGTCGAACACCTCGATGGATCAAAGACAATCCAAAGTTCTACCCCTTCTTCCGTAGGGTTCTGGGCGCCATCGATGGGACTCACGTGGACGCATTTGTGCCTGAGGATGCTGTTGCACGCTTCCGAGATCGCAAAGGCCGGATCAGTCAGAATGTGCTGGTTGCATGTTCGTTTGACATGCGTTTCCAGTATGTCCTGCCAGGCTGGGAGGGCAGTGCTGCAGATAGCCGCATCTTTGAGGATAGTCGCACTTCTGACTTCTACGTCAAGAAGGGGACTATGTTCCTTGCCGATGCCGGTTTCCCATCTTGTGATGCACTGCTGGTCCCGATCCGGGGGATCCGTTATCACCTCAAGGAGTGGGGTTCTGTTGCACAAAGGTGAGTGCCATGCACTGCTATTTTCTCTTAGTGATTGATATTTCTTAGGCCACAGAACGCACACGAGTTATACAACCTCCGGCACGCTCAAGCTCGCAATGTTGTTGAACGCATCTTCGGAGTTCTCAAACGACGCTTTCGCCTCATGGTGGCTGCCCCCGAATACTCCATGTCTGTTCAAGCGAAGCTTATCCACGCACTCTGTGTGTTGCATAACTTCATCCGCATCCACGACCCTGAAGACCTCGATGACATGGTCCATGCTGAACTTGACCGTGTTCCCAATCCACCGGAGCTATCAGACTTAGGCACACGGTTAGCCAGAGCAGAGCAGAAGAGGGCGTCAGACAGGCGGGAGAGAATTGCACAGGCGATGTGGGACAGTTATCAGGCATATGTGAATGGTAATTAGGCTTCTTAACGGATAGAGATAGTGATGGCAAATGAGTGGGGTTGTTACTATTAAAAAGCTCTAAGTATGGAAGGGTGCAAAGTGCACTACAAACGACCGCTGTTCACCACATTCAACATCCGCATCGCATAGGCATGCTGAAGCTTTGGATCCTTCACCGAGCCATACATCTCAGAGTGTGCAGGCTAATCTGGGAGGAAGAAGAGAAGGTCAAGCTTGTCTTCCTCAGTCAGCAACACATCACTCTCGATAGCGGCAGTCGCACGCTTGAGCGGAGTGAGTGGAAGGCTGATCGCAGCCTGGGCCATCTGCCCCAGCGCACTAGCCACGTTGTTGATTGCGGTGGGCCCAGTGACACGAGCACGGCGAGACGAGCGTCCGGCGCTGGGAGAGAACGTGGGGGAGCGACGCTTGCATGAAATTGGGGAAGGAGACCAGCCTTCAACAGGTTCGGAGGCAGGGGACTCAGCATGGGTGGTTTGAGCATGTGTGCGAGTGGGGGTGGCAGGTGTAGAGACAGACTCGGTGGGTTGGGGAATGCGTACAGTGGCAGCTCCGGTGGCATGTTGTCCTTCCATCAGAGCATGAATGCGCTCATACAAGGGAAATCTCTTGCCATCCCAAAGAACCTTGGCTTTCGGTTGGGCCTGCATAATGTAAGACGGAATCATACGTCAAACTGGCAAGTAAACACACCTTGATGAGGTCATCCCACACCTCTTCAGATGCGGTGAACATCTTCGTCTCCGAGTCCCATCCAAAGCCTGAGAAGTTCTTCGACCATTTCACAATATCTCGGTACTGAGGAAGTAGCTACACCAGAATGAATATACTGGTGACAAAGAGCAAAGAAGCACTCACTGTATTCCTCCAGTGATCCTTGCACTTAGTCCCCGTCTTAAACGCACCCCTCGTTCGAACAGCGTTCACAACGGCCTCAATCACAGTCCAGGTGCAAGGTTTCCATCCGTTATCTGTCTGGTGGCCTGCCAATTTCTCGGCTTCCAAACCTTCAACGAGAGCTTCGTCATCAGCTAGGAGCCACTGTGCAGTCCTGCCACTCAGGGGAGGAGGATCCTGAGATGTGGGGGGAGCAGGGGGAGCAGGGTCTGTGTTGAGGCTGGTGGGGTAGGAAGGAGGGGATTAGATGAGTCTAGAGAAGTAGTAGACATAGTGGAATAGATTTGTGGCAAAGACAGACAGCAGGGAGAAGAGAGGGAGAGACAGTGAGCAAGGGAGCGGGCACAGTGAGCACGGCTCTGACGGTGTGACGGGCAAAGCGCCCATCAGGATGCCCGTCCGCCCTCGGCCCGGAGACCTCCGAGCCCACGACGGGATGGGCTCGAGGGGCGTCTATCGCGAGCCCACAGCCCATCGTGCTGCGGGATCATTTTGGCGGGGGACCCAGCCCATCCCACGGACAGCCGACCAGGCCCTAAGTGTGTGGTGCGGCAGTGCACCATAATTGCAGCCTTACAGAAACATGAGAGTGAGACTAGGGCGCAGCAACATATGAGCTAGTGAGTCACCTTGTAGGCAGGTGACTGGTGTAGTGTGAGCAGTCATGTCATGGGTAGCTGTGCCAGTAGTGCACTGTCAGACATATGGGGGTCGGTGATAGTTCTACACATAAATACCAGGTTTCACAATGCTAGGGTCACTTAGCAGGACTAGGTGTTTGTGAGGTTTGGCTGTCTAGTTGACTAGCCAATCACTACTCTAAAACAAATAACCCAAGTCCCAGTTAGAGACGGTGCTCCAACAGAAATACTTGTTTGTTTTTTAGAGCAAGGGGTTCCCGACACGCAATGACCTACCCCAATCCTTGCCACGAAGCATGTGGGATTTCCTCTTTTCCAGCAGAGGCTTCATTGAGTTCGGTGCAAGACTACAATGGTCAGGTTTGCACTAGTTTTTTTTCTTTCTTTTTGTATCCTCGTTTATTGCCCTCGAGAGCGGAGCCCTATGGTAGGTATAACATACAGTAGGTTCGTACGTAGTGTCGCATAGCAATGGGAAGTGTCGTCTTCGCGTATGCGCCCTCGGGAGCGATCCCGAAGGCACAGTGGACCGAGAAGAGCCAGCGGGCATCAGCCAGCGTGCCATTGAGCCTTATAGGGGCTCGGGGTGTGTCTGAGTGGGGGTGGAGAGAGAAAAAGAGAAACTGAAGCAAGTATAGTAAGAGTACAGTATCGCTATAGTAATGAGAGCAGTGGGATGCAGCCGCAAGGACAATGCAGTGTGGGGTGCTGTGGGCTGGCTTTGGGTTCGTGTCCACGCAGGTCGTGGGGTGTCTTCGTGCGGGGGTCTTCTCATGCGGGGGTGTCTGGGTAGGGGACGGGTGATCAGCAGAGTCACACATGAGGAGTCGTCTTTTCACCTGGAGGGGAAATCCTCATGCCGAGGGGTCCGTCTCGTCGTCTGGCTCTGGGTAACGCAGGCTCCCGAAGCAGAAGAACAGGCGGCGTGTCTCATCCAGGAAGCCGAAGAGAGGGCGGAGGCCCTTCGGCGAGGCGAGGAGGTACGTGAGCAACCTGCGGTCTGGGGGAGGGGCGCACGCGAGTGAGAAGGTCTCGCACCGGAGGAGGTAGTGTGAGACTGTCTCCGCTTCCCTCCTGCACGACGCGCAGGTCGTGGAGGTGACGGTTTTGATGGTGGTGAGGTGAGAGGCCAGCGGCACGCATCCGCTCTGGAGCTGGATCAGGGCTGTGGTGTGCTGGCGGGGAAGGTCCTTCACCAACTTGAGGAACAACTTGGAGGGGAGTTTGAGGTCGATGGTGGCGAGCTTGCGTCCCCGTTTTGACTCTGCCCATGTTTTGGCTATCGCCTTGTTGAGTCTGTCTACATACCCCGATTTCAGTTTTGATGCGTTTGCAGCGAGCGGGTGGCAGCGAAGGGCTGGCGGGAGATTAGTGCAGCGTGACAACTTTCCATGCGCTGCTTCTTTTGCGGCTTTGTCTACTAGCTCATTGCCTTCCACCTCGATGTGGTCTGGCACCCAGCGGAGTGTGATCTTGCATCCCGGGAGCACCTTGTGGAGGCAGCGGATCTCCTTGAGGACTTCATCAGTGAGGTAGCGGCCTGGCCCTGCCTTGTTGCCTGTTGTGGCTTCAATTGCGCTTTTTGCGTTGAGCGCTACCGACGCCCTCCTCACGGGCGAGCGGTGTTCCTGCCAAATAAGGTATAGGGCCAGCAGGATGCCCACCGTCTCCACCTCTGGGACAGTGTGCTCCTCCGCCGGACCTAAGTGGAAGTGTAGGTATCGTGGGCAGCGACCTGGCCTAACCAGGACCGCTGCTGTGCCCACTCCCCCGTCGATCTTTGACCCGTCTGAATAGACCCGGAGGCCCGCACGTGACACCCATCTCTCCTCCTCAGCCTTGGCCGCCTCCTTATCTGACGCAATGCTCGTTCTGTGTAGTGGTTGCCACCTGGGGTGGACACGTGCGGGTTTAATGCATTCAGGGGGTGCCTCTGGCAGTGTGTGGGCGTAAGCATGAAGGATCTCGTGCATGGGCGAGCGGTGAGTCTTTACTAGTCGTCTCTTGGCACGGGTGACGTGAGAGGCGAGTGGGTGCGATGGGGGAAGGGTGCGAAGGCGGACGGCGGCCTGCTGGCATGCCTTGTTGATCAGGTGTTCGAGGGGTGGGATGTTGAGGTGGGTTTCCAGAACGTCGGTTGCCGTGGAGTGCATCACGCCCGAAATAAGAAGCAGGAACTGTCGGTGGATAGGTTAGAGGAGGTTGAGGAAACCGATGGAACCGTGGCACCGCTTCTGGCCTGGGAGTGTGCGGACGGGTGTGAACCACATGTCGGCTGCGTAGAGCATGGCTGGGATCGCTGCGCCGAGATACACCTGGCGCAGCAACTCGACGGTGACCCCCCACCGCACCTTCGCCAGCCGCTTGAATATGGCCAGAAGCACAAGGCCCCTGGTCTGCGCCAGCACCGCGTGCTCCTTGAACCTCAGGGTGTTGTCGACCAGGAGGCCCAGAAAGCGATGCATCTGGACAGCCTTTACGACCGTGCTGTCCACTAGCTCCAGATCCGGTCCAGTCTCTGTCTTCTTGAAGCTCCTCTTGAAGTTGACGCATGCCATCTTGCTCATCTCAAATTCAGAGTTGTGTGTGTGCGACCATTGGAGTGCTCCATCGTCCCTCGTCAGCAGCTCTTTGAGCTTCTTGTGTGTCCCTTTCTCCCCGTTCTCCCCTCTGAACCGCTGCGCCTCGACCAGGAAGCAAGCGTTGTCCATGAACCCTGGGCTGTGTTCTCCGTTTGTTACCACTGCGCAGTTCAAAAGATCAGAATTGTACAAGATATAGAAGATTACAGAACCGGAGCAGCCTTGGTCAATGCTGTTGACAATGTTGAGTGGCTCCGAGGTGAAGTTGTCGAAGGTGAGTCGTGTTGTGCACCCCTCCAGCTTGATGCAGAGCCAGTCGACTATGGCCTCTGGGATGCCCCACTGCCGCATGTTGTGGTACAAGCGTGAGGGCACTGCTGAGGTGCACTAGTTTAAGACTTCTTCAGTTGTATCAGAGTAATACTCAATCAAGCACCAATCAAGCACCTTAGAAACTGTGTGATAGTTTCTATGTACTTTGCATGAGCATACTGATTTCCTCCTTGTACTGTGTGTAGGTGCCCTGTACACCCAATACAATTTGCTAAGTCTTAGTGCCTTGCTCATACTCACACTAGTCCTTCTGACTAGTACTTGATGTCTCTTCAGACGCACTTTTTCCCTATAACAATCCCTGGCCTATGCTGTATGATGCACTGTATGCGCTGTGTCTAGCTTTTCAATAAAGCAGCTTTCTGTGTGGGTTAGCCTTTCCTCTAGTAGACGTGACATGGGAGCGGGCCGCAAACACCAATCGGGAGAGAGAGAGGGGTGGATGGGCGTAGATGGAGTGTGAATAACCTCAATGTAGTGGTACAGAGGCAACACCGACACTAGGCACGAAGCGGACACAAACTAGAGTCACACAAGGGATGTCTAGTCCACAAAGACCAAGCTAACATAGCTCTACTTGGTAGGAGTGGGCCATTACTGGCAGAAAATGATTAATGAGATATTGGATATAATGAAAAGATATGAGAGACATTAATAAGCTATATTGAACACCACCAAGGCTGGACTCAGTCATAGGCCGCCCCGTCACGTGATGAAAATGTGTCCTTCTGAGCGTGTCCGGCAAGCAGAATTGATTGTAAACCATGTACTTTTCTGAATAAGACAGTTTCTTCCGGTTTGGCTCTGGAGGATTGTACTACTAGTATGTGGCTACAACTCCCTGGAGCTTATTTTGGCGAGAGAAGGCCAGTAAAGAAGTGGTATCGTGAACGGTGTCGCGGCTCAGGCGTCAATAAAAGCGCCAGGAAATGGAGTTTATTAAGTGAGCCTGTCAGAATGACATTGACATGCAACCATGGGTCGAGTTAGTACTGCAAAAGCGTCCAGGTTGAGGAACCTAGGCAGGTGGATGAAGAAGAAGGTCTTGAAATCAGGTTCAGACAAGGAGAACCTGGTATGGAAGTCATACCATCTTTTTAAAACCTCATTTTAAGCTCCCTGCGCAGCCCCTAGTGCCACCAGAGCTCGCAATTCAAGCACGCATCATAGTGCTGAACCACAGTGTGTGTGTTCTGCAGGAAAGGAGCCGCTGCTTGCTTGCGGAGATGTCCCAACAGGCAGCACCTCAGCCACTGCCTGGGAACACATCATCCACTAGGCTGCCGGAAGCTTCGGACATTCCTCCGCCCTATTGTCATCTATGCCTTCCCGAACGGTGCCTGCGGAGGCCTTTCCAAATCAGATTGGCATCATTCCGGGGCCACACACACGACATGGAGGACACTTTCAACCAGCACCCACGCGCGAGGCTACAGAAGTGGGGCTGAAGCTGCTAGACGCACTACTGTGGCCACACTCAACGACGAAGAAGAAGAGATATCTACCTTTCCAAGCGGGAAACCTGCGGCTTCACCGCCGTCTGATGGAGATGCGAGAGTTCCTGGCCATTTATCTAGATGATGGCACTCAAGTGTGTGGGTGGAAGAAGACCTCCATGTTAGCTGCCAAGAAGCTTGGTTGCGCGCCAAATCATGCGCGAATGCTTCGCAAGTGGTGTCGGAAACTTCTGTCAGACACAGAGCCCACACTCCTAGCTGCTCCTCAGCATATATAGTTGCGATCAGCACTGAAAATCAACCTCGAGCTCAAGCTGGCACTCGAGCTGCACTCACAAGGTGTTGGCATGTATGTTCAAGCACAAGACATTGTCTCGTTCATGGCCTTCCCTGGTAACCTTGTGAGATTCGGTCTCACAAAGCTTGTCTCTCACACAACTGCGAAAAGATGGATGCACAAGCTGGGCCGCTTCTGGAAGCATGAGCCAACTGGGCAGTATGTCGATGGGCATGAGCGCGAAGACGTGGTTAATTATAGACAGAAGAAATTCCTACCTATCTTTGCCGATACCCTATCACGGACGTGCAAATGGGATGCGGACGGAACTGAAGTGCTGAGTACAACTGCAGCCGCAACCACTGCTGAGTCGCTATTGGGCGGGCCCCATGATCACAGGTATGAGATCATCAACTTCTGATCAAGCTGATAAGATAACTCACTTGAAATTCAGTAATCCTGTAGAACACCAAGTCGTGCACTGGTTCCAAGATGAATTGACATTCTATGCCCATGATCGGCGGACACTGTACTGGGTTCATGAGCAAGAAATGGCAATACCACGTCTGAAAGGGGAAGGGGTGTCGCTTATGGTTGCTGATTTCATGTTGGCCGATCATGGGTGGCTCCATTCACCTGACGGAAGGGAATCAGCTCGTGTACTCTTCAAGGCAGGAAAGAACAGATATGGGTATTTCACCCACAAAGAGATCCTCACTGCTATGGACATCCTGGAGAAGCACTTCCCCGAGGAGAAACATGTCCTTATCTTCGACAATGCACCCACTCATGTGAAACGCACAGATGATGCACTCTCTGCACAGAAGATGTCAAAGTTTCCTACCAGAGAAGAGAACCCACCGTTTGGTGTCAAGGTCAACAAGATGGGGCCTGACAGGAAGGTCATCTATGGCAGCGATGGGAAGCCCCTGAAGATCAAGATTCCGATGTGCGATGGGCACCTTCCGAACGGCCATCCGCAGCCTCTTTATTTCGAGACAGGTCACCCGCAAGCCGGTATCTTCAAGGGGATGGTGCAGATCTTGACAGAGTGTGGATATAATGGGGTGAAAGACCTGAAGGCACAGTGCACCAAGTTTGAATGTGCTCCTCCCGCCCTCAATTGTTGCTGCCGACGGCTCCTGTTCAATGAACCCGACTTCTGTGACGAGAAGACACTTCTTCAGGCACATTGCGAGGCCCGCGGCTTCCAGGTTGTATTCCTTCCCAAGTTTCACCCTGAACTCAATCTTATTGAACAATGCTGGTGCTATGCAAAACGGGAGTACCAGAAGCTCCCACTAAGCTCAACTGAAGCGGACTTGGAGAAGAACACAGTGGTGTCTCTTAACTCTGTCCCGCTTGTTTCAATGCGCAGGTATTTGTGACTGGGTCCTATAATTTTGTTATCCATCTCATACAATACTTGTTACGGACACCATGCAGATACCTACCTTTTTCCTTCCTTCCTCATCATCTCCGTCACGGACTATGCCTTGTGCCCTTAGGGGCTACTGTACTACTACCCCTGTCTCTGCCTCATGCTGCTGCGCAGCCTCGCTCCGGACATGCACGTACCTCATGGCAGCCTCACGACGTCCTACCTCCTTACACGCCGCAGCCATGACTCGTACTGACTCGTGTTACCTTACCTCTCGCGCACCGTGGCCTCAAGGCCTTTGTACTTATAAGAGGAACGACACAGCATAACGCTCCCCATCTTTCGACCTCCTGTATAGCTGTGTCCCCTCAGGCCTAGTGCCAATTGACTCTTTTGCTTGCCTTCTACCTCACTCGCTCGCCGGTCCGCTCAATAGTGCACCATGCTTACTCCCGTTGGCATCAAGAGACTTCTCACGGACATAACCACTCGGCGTCTAGGCCTCGTTCCCAACGGAACTCGGACTTCGACGTAACAATACTGTACAGGTTCTATGGTAGGTCCCTGCGCTTCATGCAGCATTACCGTGATGGTCTCAACGGAGCGGAGGCAGCTTGGGCAGCAAAGAAGTATGCTAGTCATTGTGGCCTTCTCCCGAGGGCGATATTTGAGAGCGCGGACATCGCGACACCTGAATAGTATACGGAACATTCATTTACACGCTTTTATGTACTCACGTGCCGCGCGCACACTCACTATCCTCCTGTGTGTTTGGGATGGTGTGCGCGCATTCTGGTGCCTTTCAAGCGGGGGACTTATCTGGCGTCTAGCGCAAAGATAACTGATCCGAGCACCGATCTCACGTGCTCTGCTAGGCATCAGCATAGGGGCGAGCTGTGACTGAGCCCAGCCTTACCATCATTACAGACAAACAAGAACAGAATATATAGCAGGAGTGCAAACATTGTGATAGCTAGTACTAAAGTGCTTACTGTGCAGATCAAAGCCCATACAGTTACAATACCCTGTGTTATAGCTACCCTTCTGAATATAGTTAATTGTAGGTGCTGTATTTGATTTTACAGAGGCAGAATACACACTATCATTCTACATTGCTAGACCACCAAAAGAGGGAACTAGAGAGAACGAAGAGGTTGCAGTCATATAGGTGTTCTGCATAGCTTTCTGATGTATATATAATCACCCCAAACAGATAAGAACTGAGGTCACAAGAGCTATCCAAAGTTAGTAGGCACCAGTGATAACATCTACACTGTGTCTCATCTAATGCATATAAAGTCGAGCTGTAAGTAGATTAGTAACACACTCCATAGTAGCTGCTTTCATGAATATAATCAGGATTTTAGGCAATTGATTGGATTTTACAAAGCCTGAATACCCATTGTTACAACCAGGCCTGTGTAGCACAGCCATATGCAGAAAAAAGCGGCAATATCAGGGATTGAACCCAAGGTCCCCCACCCAGCTGGACTGGCTGAATTGAGCTGTGTTTGAAAAAAGCGTTCAAAACAGGCACCTAGCTGCACTTTCAGCCACTGTGGCACCTGTACCTCACGGTCCTTTAATCAATTGATCTGGTGTCACCCCCCTGGGGTGATACCAGATTCGGAGACTGCAAATGCCTAACTGTCTGCCACTAGTACACCCTCTATGAATAACGACTGATATTCCCTGTAGGGAAACGGTAGAACGCGGGCATATGCCCAAGTCCCCTGCCCCCTTCCCCGACGTTCCCGAGGGCCCTCCTCCGCGAATTCCCGCGCTGCGCCTGATTAAGGCTGTTTGCAGCTCCGGATCACTTCGCGGGTAGAGCCGCGATTATCCGGAGCCGTGATCCACGGATCGTGATCCGTGCGGCTCCGGCTCGCTCCGGCTCCGGCTCGACGCGGCTCCGGATCAGAGGGGGACCAAAAACGGCCGGATCACGGCTCAACCCGCAGATCCGCCACTCAATATTAAGCACCTAAACACGTATTCATTGACTGTTTCACATCCAATACATTATATCTACGACTTCAGCGTGACATGAAACCACTCCTCACCAGCCATCATCTTCGTACTTGTCAGACTCGTCGTCTGAGTCGGACGGGGTGCGCAGTGGTGGCAGAGACCCGTCAGAGTCCTCACCCGCATCCTCCCTCGCCACTGCAACCCACCCGCTCCCCATGTACGCAGCTTCCATCGCGTCGTTGAAACGCGTGCGAACTGCAGTGGTTAAAGCGGGCACGCCTGAGTGCTCGCTGTTGGGCGCGATGGCAGCCGCAGGCGCGATGGTGGACACTGTCACGAGGACGCGTGTGGGCACAGGCGTGAGGGTTGTGGCAGGTGCGCCGGGCGTGAGGGTTGCAGCGGGCGTGGGTGTGAGAGTTGCGGTGAGCGCAAGGGCAGGCGCAAGGACGGTCGCGAGGGTGGGCGCAGACGTGAGGGTGGGCGTGGGCGCCAGATTAGACGCGGGCGCGAGCGCGAGCGTGAGTGCAGAGCCGAGGGTGAGGGCGGGTGTGGGCGTGAGGGTGGATGTGGATGAGGATGAAGGTGTGGGCGCGGACACGAGGGCAGATGCGGGCGTGGGTGCAGATGCGAGGGTGGGCATGGACGCAAGGGCGGGTTCGAACGCGAGGGTGGGCTCGAACGTGAGGACGGGCTCAGACGCGAGGACGGGTGAGACGTTGGCGTCATCTTCCAAGGCCGCGAGTGCAGCGCGTGCACAAGCCAGTAAATCTTGGTCCGGATATATGACCTGTTGCTAGTCAGATCAATACATACTAAGAGGGCTAGTATCGGACCTCAGGGATGATATCGAGCATGAATACGCTCATCGCGAACAAGAGCGGGTCCGCAGAGTCGTGGGCGTCGAGTTCTCCTATGAAGAGGGATAGGGTGTCGACGAACAGGTGGAAGTCGACGTTTTGAACGGCTGGGGAGTTCTTCACAAACGCGCTGTATGCGAGAACAAGCTGCAGGAGCAGCCCGTTCTGGTCGTCGCGGAGGCCGCATTGACGAAGCTTCGGTCCGCGTACTATGGAGAGCCACGCGTCGGCGCGAGGGTGGTCAACCGTGTTCAGTGCGGCTTGAGTGTATGGAAGCATGAGCTAGATGGCAGTGGGTTAGCGCAGCTCATGCAATTGAAAACATTCACTCACAATCACTGTGTCAGTGACACCATTGACCAGAATGGTGAGCCATTCATGGCTCAAAGGGCGCGTAGATGGTGGTCCGAGGCCGCGGTCGTGGCGTGTCTCGGCGAAGATGTAGATGGCGGGGTTCGTGCTTTCGATGATGGACATGGTGTTCGTCGGGAAGGCGGTTGAGTCGGGAGCAGAGAGGAGAGCGAGGGATACTTACCTTCTCGTACCCGTGCGATGCACCCCGATGCCAATGCAACCAATGTCCAAGGCACTCGCGCGCTTACTCAGATTCGACATCTCCCATTCCCTTCCGCCCCTGTCAGGTGGTCGTTTTGGTCGCGCCACGGGAGACTGCTTGAGGTCGCGAGTTTGTGGTCGAATATGGGTGGTGGGGACCTAGGCGCTGGGTAGATAACGATCTGTGCGCGTGGTGATGTGTCGCATCGCATCGTGCACTGCTAGCCTGTATATGGTGAGCAGGATACACAGCCGAATTCTGACGGAACTCACCAGGTTTAAACATGTTGGGCAGGCAAGGTTCGGAGATGCGGGATGGAGGAGCAGGGCAGAGGGTACGGGGAAGGGTGCGCGTCAGCATCCAAGGCGTGTATTGTAGCCGAGCGCACCTTCTCGGGCGGCAAGCCGCTTTGACTCCACACGCACCTCACGCCTCTAGTCCCTCCTCCGTATCATCTCCGTCCCTCAAGATCTCCCCCACGAAGCCCCAGCCCCCCACTATTGCCGTCACGGACC